CTAGGGGCTGCTAAGATTATTCGTGAGTAGCGGTCGATAGCAAGAAGGAAATAAAATGCTTTTTTTTTTCTTACCATGGTAGTTTGAATTGTGGAATTTATAGATTGAGAGTTGCATTAAGGGGAAGTGTCATAGCATGAGGCCAGCATAGACAAAATCGTGCGGTTGGTGTGGCCCACTGTGCATGTGGTCATGTCGCGAATCGTGCAGCGCTTGCAAGTCTTCTCTTGCTCCTTATGGTTTCATAACAAAGCCAGGCTGTTCGTGGAAGCTTGAGCCTGCTTGCAAGAAAAATTATCCATTACTGCTCATTAACTTATGCAGAGCTTGTTGCACGAAAACTTCGGGCAAGTCCGCAAAGGATGGCTAGAATCGCTATTTGTGAATATTTTAATTCAGCACTAGGTGTGAACATCTGTCACAATTAAAAAGTAGTTGTGGTTAACGTGAAAGCTAATCTATAAAAAGCAAGTGGGCCATTCAACAAGTCAATTCTTGGCATCTCGGTGGTTGTGTTATTCTGCTTTTGCACGAGGTCGTGGGTTCGATTCCTAGCTGCATTTTAGTGCGGGCCGAATGCAAAAACGCATTCACTGAGATGTTGGAGATCATTAGAAAAGCCCACACGTACAAAATTAATCTGAAGCCGTCCACTGAGGTGTTCTAGAGTGTTTGCTGTCACCCAAATCGGTTGATAACAAGTTAGACTCGGTATCAGCTGTGCTGTACTGGTCCTCAAGTGCAAGTCGAACTTCACACATGCATACACTGACATAACCTTTTATCTGGACAACAGTGCGGTTTTACATGTCGAGAATTTGAACTAAGTGGAAGTTAGATTAAAATTTTATGCATAATGAGGCTTGTTTATGTAGGCAGGAGTCCTGTGGCAAAAATCTTTGTTATTTCTTGTCGCGAGAACCTTTGGAGTTGATAACAAGAAAGAAATCTTGCAAGCAGGCTTTGGTATCTTTGGTAAAGTGAAAAAATTAATCGGTAGGTTCAGGTGTGCACAATCGAAATCGGCAATTTAAAAAAAGACAAAGCACAGGTCGCGTCTTGCAAGTGCCAATTCTGTTTAATACGTGTTATGTTTTCCCATGGCATCAAACTTGAAGTAACAATCAAGTCGGGAGATGTAAATAGATATAAGATAGTGGTTAAATGTATGTTAAAAGCACCTCTCCATCTGAAGGGGCCAATAAGAAAATTGTTTTACTGTCTCATACGAAGAGTCTTTTTTGGAAATGGCATTGTTTGTGTGTTTTTTTGACTTGTCATATTTTCTTCTTGTTGCTTTTCGTTGTTTAAGTTGTGTTTGGTATAGTTGTGCTTAGTGGTGGAAAAAAAAAATGTGTTGATATGGCAGATCTGTTTTATTCATCTTTTTTGTTCAAGCTCTCACAAAATAAGCATTTTTGAACTGTTTACTGCTCTCTCTTTCTCTCTTTTTTTTTCTGTGATACTTTTTTTCAATACAGATCTTAAGTGTAAAGAAAGGGTATTGCATGTGTGAATCATGTTGCCTTTCCATTTATTTTGCTACTAGTGTTATCATGTTTTAATGCTTAATTCATTCAGCTTAAGGAAAAAAAAAAACTCATGACAATTGATATGTACAGTGCATGTAAGTATGAATAAATTACCCTTCAGTGCATTGTTAATCCTTTGAATATTTTATTTGTGCTCCCAAAAAAGAGAGCTTTGAGCTGTTCAATCTGTCTTGGCATGTTGCTAATTGTACCATAAGGAGTGCATTTGCTGCATTTTAATTACCTGACACCGAGCATTGCCTTTTTTTTACTTTACGCAAGTACACAACAGAAATGCGTCAAAAGAACTCTCTATCTGTTGATGACTGTCACTCATTGTGACGCAACCATCATATTGGTGTCATCAGAATCGCATCACAGAACACATTATCACGTTCAACATTTTGGGCATTGCAGTCGTTTGCATTCCACAATGCGTACATGTCAGACAGCAATGTGACAGTCTATGGCGCCATAGCAACAGAGGCCAGAAATCCAAATTCACCAAAGTTGGTAGTGGTAGGGTGTAAATGCCCTTCCATTGGATGTTGAAGCTTTGCTCAGACTTAATGCCAGACGAACTTGCATGCTGGGCTCTGTGGGAAACACCCCGAGGATATTATTACATGGCATTGCATTAGACTGCAGGTGTACCATCTATCGCGATCAATATGAACTGGAACACTAAATTAAAGTTTTTTTAAAGATCTCTTGTAATGCACCGATTGAAATGTGATGTATTTAATTGTCAGAGACACCTTAACGCGTGAGCATTTATAATGTCATGAGCACTTTTGAACTTGCCAACTGCATGTATCCGCTATGACCTATATAGGGGTACTAAAACAAAAATTTAAGCCTTGCATTTTTTTTTTCCCTCCAATGTGCTACTGGGGGCCTGTCAGTCATAGCATGGCACATCATTTTCTGCAGTGCTCGCAGATAATTCATTACAGGCTCCTCATTACCGAGCAGGCTCAGTTTCGATTTGAGAGAGCTGTAAATTGGACATGCTGCCGGTCGCAGCTACCACCGTCTGGTGTGTGTAATGCTCGACTATGTCAGCACATAGAACTTGGCGCACTTCCGCACGGTCCACATCAAGAAGTCCTTTCGTGAACAGGGAACAGAAAAGCAGTGTCGCCACACATAACGCAAACGTTGCGGGCACAGGCTCGCGAGCATCCGCCGGGTAGTAGTCTGCTGGGGCAAATGCAGCAAAAAGAGTAATCGTGACTATGACGTCATCGTAACCTGTGTCTGCTGCAGCCTGGTGACATGAGGCAAGTAGGGGGGCAGGGGGGGGGGGTCACCATCTAGACACTTTGGAGGGTGTCTATGCCGCAAGGTGCGTATAGTACTCAATCATGCGTGACAACTTCAAAATTAATATTGAAAACCTTTCAAGCCCTACTCGTTATCTTGCAGCCGATATAGGTACACATGTTCATGGCAGTCGATCCCGCTGGTTATATTGCCCACAACATTTGGTGTTGTAACCATTTAAAAGGTAATGCCCGTGTACCAGCTGCTATTTCAGTCATCGCCAATGACTGTTCATGCTGAAATAGCAGCCAGGTGAACACTAGGTTAATGTATATCTAGGGTGGCATCCTCGATAATCACTATTGCAAATGCCATCACATTCGCAGGGTTTTTGCAGAAGTGATCTCATTTCTAGAAGTTGCGGATTGAGTGCTCCACCTCTAATACAATGCTAAAACAAGCATGCTGCTATAAAGGTGGCATCAAAAACATGAAAAGGGACCCTACAAAGCCTTTGGTCTACCAGCTGTTGAAATATTACATGTAATTTCCTAGTTTTACAGCTTGATTGTCGTCATAATATTAGACACTTTGCGACATTCTGCCTTCCACTCAAGGTCAAATGTTATTTTAGAAGAGTATTTGAGGGGCCTAAATTTCCATACCTGCTTTCGTAGTTTGGGCTTGCCCAATTAATCGCTCCCACTTCGTAGAACCAATGTGTATGGCAGCTTCTCAAGTTTTAGCTGTCATTCAATGTATATTTTATCACAAATCTCTTGCTTTTTCTGCTATGCAGATTGTTATATAGTGGTGTGTCCAAAGCACAATGCATGTTCATTATGTTTCTTGAACAAACGATCTAATATTTTACTAAAAACAAATGGTAACATCTTAATCCTTAAAGTAATGTTTAACAAAGCTTTAGTGTTTTGGAACAATTAACCATAGCATCTCTAGAAGTTTAAGGTTGGTAGGTCTGTTTTAAGATAATTGTATTATGTATGTCTAACCAAGTCACCAGTCCCTGAATTGCCAAATGAAACTATTCATCTGGATTCATGTAACGTTTGCAACACTAAAAGTAAAACACTGCCTTGCTGTGCGTGCACGGCTGTCCCTTCATTTTATTGTTGTTGTAATTGTATTTGCATGCACACACGATGATATAGTACTGCTTGGCCCATTGCGGTGATGTTTCAACATCACGGCTACAGAACACCTAACAACCAACTAGCATAGTATCCAAGGCAAAGCCATTGTTTTACCCAAGCCTAAATGCCAAAAATTACTGGTTACATATTTCGATCACCTGTGACATAACAGTCCCTCTCCTAATTTATTGTACCAACCATAAAGCGATTATCAGTCCTGTGGAGCATTGCTGATAGCAATTGGGGCCAATCAGGACTGGTTTTCTCAACAGCGATGGGCTCCCTTCTGCAGCTAATGTAAAGGAACCAATCATTATTGTAAAATTTGATCCGGATCATTGCAGTAAATTATATGAAACCTGACAGGTAAAAAAAGCAGTGCTTTAGTCATTGTGCGTGTTATTGTAAATAAATTTGAAGTTATGAATTTCAGTACGTCCAACATCATGACCCTTGCTGCATTCAAGGGCACAAAAGACAACTTTCTCGCAACCAAGCATGTTTCCTTAACAGCTTGTATTGCATGGCTAAAGACATTTATCTTGAAAAATTTTTTTTGGCATTCTTTTATGCCTTTCATTAACTTGTGCTCACAACGGAGCCCATAGACAAGCCATTTGGCTGTATCGTTTGTTCACAGCAAACCGATAAGACTATGACCTTGCTGAATATGACCTTTAAAATAAAAGCATCTAAAGAGCAGTTTGAATGTTTGAGCGAAGACTCAAGTAACGAATCAAATATTTCAGTATTTTCTCATATTTGCTAAACAAAGAGGTTGTGTGAAGCCACTCTTGTCATGAAAAGGCATATTTACATTTTGCAGATGTAGGTGCACTCCAACATTGGAGATAACTCAATCGAGGAAATCGTAACCACTTGAAAGGCAACATATACCGCACCATCGTAATGGCATTAATAAAGCATAGAATGGCACGGAACCTCATTGCCTTGAGCGCAAGTATTCAATGAACATCAGTATTCAGCCTCTTATTAGCAGCCCGAAAGTGGTTTGTACTGTCGCAACATTCAGACATGGAGCACAGAGTTAACTTGAGAGACGAGGGTTTATTTGACATAAATCTAACATTACTGATTGTAACGTTTGAACAGATCATTTCGGTCAACAATACAGCACGTTGGATACTTTGATGCAATAGATGCTACAACAGCGAGCACAAGAAGTCCTTGACAGTCAATGAGATGATGGCGTAATAATTCATGCTTAGCTCCACTGCTGAAGCAACGTGCAGGGGAAGGGCTGCATCGCCTAAGGGTGGGGAGGGAAAATTGTTTAGACTAGAGTCATGTCAGTGTCGTCAGCCGCGCTCGATCCATTTCTGGTTGTGACCCATCTGTCGAAGGCCGAAGGCAGACAGCAGAATGCCCACAGTCGACAGTGCAAATGCCGACGATGACACGACACGGTCCTTTCCCGTTTTCAGCTGGTTGTCAAAGTAGACATTCTGAAATGAAATGGCAACATTCAGATCAACAACCATGTGGGGATACACACTATAAAAGCTCAATAACATGCCACTTCACTATTCATCCTCAAAGTCAAACTTCTTCTTCATCCATAAACATGTTTCGAAAATGAATGACTGAAAATTGTGCAATCTGGTTCAGATTCATAAATATAACAAGGCAGCCCAACAAAACATGCGGTGCTCAGCGGCTACAGCCATATTGAAAAATCTAAAAAGATGTGCAGAAATACTTTGGTAATTATTCACATTAAATGACTGTTCAGGGCCTCTGTGCTGCAAAAGAAGTATGCGTGCAAGCCTCGAAGCAATGCCAATGATCACTTATATAGCCAGACTCTGGTAAACATTTATTGTTTCCTAGGAGGTGCTGGTCATATGGGTAAGTTTGCTTCATATTGATCAATCACCTCTTTCGCTACGTTGACCCCAGTGAGTAGTAGTAGCAAAAAAAGAAGACCATAAGCCACGATAGGTGTAAAAACTTTCCCAAGCATCTTTTGCACCGCAGTGCAACACCTTAAGACACTGAAGAGGGACAATGACTTGGTTTAGATTGACAAACTCAAATCTGAGGACTCTTATATGCCATATGTTTCACTATCATAACTTTATTATTAGGCGAGAAAATCAAGGTTGAAGTTTCACTTTTAATTTTCATGCCAAAATCTCCATGCATGATGTAAGAAATTATAAAATGTATTTTTGTGGCATTGGCTAAATGAAATTTTCTGAGACATTGTATGCTAAGTGAATGACATTCACAGATTACAATGTACTTGAGTTTAATTGATTGAAAGCTATGTAGAATTTCTCGTGTAACGTTTTTTTAGTGCGGAAATTTGAAGGAGGCATCACCACCCGCATTTTCTTTTCGCGCTTTTTCTCGCTTACTAAGCGTGCATGTTCTCGGATTGTGAAATTGTACTATACTAATACACGAAAAATCATTTTGCTCTTCAGTGTCCCTTTAATGTCCTGTGAAACATAAACCAATGTGGCAGAGTAAAAGCCATTATGTGAAATTGTTTAGAATGCACAAAGGCTTGGCATTATTTTCAAGTATTGCAAGGTCCAGGACCACCATTTACGTCAAGAACAAAGGAGACAATAGCTTTGTGCCCAGCACAGGGAATTTGCATCCTGTTTAGATGTCAGGGAAATTGCAACTAGATAAATCCGAAGCAAGGATTCCCACATTTTTGCTTCTCAGCATGCAACTCTAGTTATTGAGGACAGTTCTGCACAGTCACTATCACGCATTTCAAGTTTTCTTTTTTCGTTTCATTTCATTTGATCTAGTTTTTACCACCCAAAGAAAACGTAATAGTAAAACAAAACGGTTGAAAAGGGCTTCACATATAGTTAACTGACAGCTTGCAAGACAGCTTTTTCAACACCACACATTTGGTGCATTGGATGGCAGGTTATGATTCCTACGTTTTTCCTTCTCAGCATGCAACTCTAGTTATTGAGGACAGTTCTGCACCGTTACTATCACGCATTTCAAGTTTTCTTTTTGTATCATTTCGTTTGATCTACTTTTTACCACCTAAAGGAAATGTAATAGTAAAACAAAATAGTTGAAAAAGGCTTCACATATAGTTAACAGACAGCTTGCAAGACAGCTTGTTCGACACCATACATTTGGCGCATTGGATGGCAGGTTATATTATTTCAAGCGCCCTCTGGACAATAAGAAAGAGTATGCAGCGCGATCGACGCCGATCCAGATCGAATTTGAGGACCGCGATTGCCTTTTATCCTCAGCTTGAGCAAGTGAGCCAATCGCGGGGGGAAATTCTAAGCCCAATCGAGCCCATGACAATCTAGCTGCTTCTTGGAATGTTCATGTGGTTCCAAGTTATTTTACCGCCGAGGTTACGCGATGAGGTATCTGCGTGCGTTCCCAATACAAAATTCATTACCCCCCCCCCCCCCTCCTCCAGGCTAAGTACTTCGGACACTTTCGCGAGCTTTTGACGTAAACAGCTTACATGATGTCGTACAACGATGTCGCAACTGGTCGCAACCAACACTTACAGACACTTCAGAAGGTGCGATAGATTGCGCTCACAAGAAAAACCATGCTGGCGTCATCGTCCACTGGCTAATTTTGCGAGCCGCTGGGGAACACAGCGAAGTATTGAATGGGAAACAACTACAGCGACTTCAGCCCGTGATCTTGAATAGCAACACGTGCTACCCCTCATGTAAAATCAGACCTTACACTATGGCGTGCGCAGCCTCTTGTCTATGACGCACACTTACGTGGGAAATCCTGAAGGCGTAGCGGCTGGCTTTCGATAGAAACATTCTCCAGTGACCTGAAATAAAAACAGCGGTGTCAGAAACGGTTCCCAGCATGAATGAGACTCGCATGGTATGTTCCCAAAGCCAACGACCAACTGAACATCGCGCACTGCACCCATGAGAGAACGCGAGACAAATAGACCGCGAAGAACACAGAGATCAACCAGGTTATATTCACCACACGCCTATTACGGGGCCTAATCCGTCACGAAACACTTTCACCCAAAATGAATTCAGGCTGCTAGTCACCTGGGATGAATGAAAGGTCACCAGGGCGAGCACCCAGTAACGGCTTACTGCAAGTTTCTGCGCTACGCGGAGGATATACCGAGCCTTAGAAGGATGCGCTAGAGCACCTTATGTCGCGTCGATAAAGTTGAAACAGTGACGAAATGACAAAACACAAATAAACGTTTGTGAACCGGGACACCGGTCAAGAACTCACCAGCTACGTTGGAGAACACCCTCGCAAAGAGAAAGCCGCGAGCGATGTTGCCAGATTCCAGAAACTTCCGGATTCCCCGCTTGTGAGCGCTACGATCGGCCCGCGCGCTACCGCCACCGAACGCCGCCACTACCGCGTTCGCGTCTGGCTCTGACTGGATATTTTGTGTTGCGTCGTTAAAATCGGAGCAGCGCGAGCGGTCATGGGAGCTTAGACGGGAGCACGTGAGCGTGGTCCCTGGGCGTGTCTTGACAGGCCCGGCTCGTGACGCGAGCAGAGAGGATTTTATATCACAGCGTTGTTTGTGTATCATCATCTCGACGCTCGGATAGTGTATATCCATTGTTTGTTCAATATGTTGCACCTGTTTTCAGACGCGAGTAAAGTGGGCGTCAAAACTAGTTTTAACGTTTTAACTGCATTGCTCCACTTTAATTCCATTAACCTTTATTTGGATGCAAGGAGAATTAACGGAATGCAACGTGACTGCACGAAAGGTGCGTGAGGGTGGCTTATCCCCTCCCCCGCCCTTTTGAGTGCTCAGCTTGCACTAGTGGCGCAAGACTGCAACCATCAGCGGAGCCAGTGTTTGACCCAACGTTACTAGAACTTGTGACGTTAGTATGATCTAGCTAAGTTTTGCTGGCGATGTCAAGCTTTTGACAGATGCTAGTAGGGCTAAGTATGGCTAGACTTGGCTAGACACGTCACGTGACTAACCGTTACACGCTGTTGTGATTTCAGTGGCTTGACTAGCTGTTACGTCTTTTTGGCGGGAACACGTCGCATCAACCTTTTCACTGGAAGCTTCCTGCAGTGCGGCCTTTTCTCTGGGCTGTTGTTAACATGCGTGAACCCCCAAAAATGCTCTGCCGAGGCTGTGACGTCAGCTTCCGTGCAACAGCCCAGAAAAGACGAAATCCTCCTATCTGTAGAAAAGGTGTTGATATATGATGCGTGATTTAAGCGACGTCACTAAATGTTAAGCGACCTTTAGTGATGCAAGGTATTGTATGATTCTAGTTGCGTGATGTTGCGTGAATATTAGTTACGCAACGTACTCACCCGCCATCATATTTTTTGTACTCCATGACGGACAAATCGGCACAAGCGGAATCCGGCATGGAAGAGGCCCACGGAGGAAGAGGACGAAGCTAATGTGTATCGCTTCATAATGATTATAATTACTGTTACCACTACACGGCGCAACTTTCAAAACACAATGATTGCAGGTATTTAAATACACATTATTATTATTATTATTATTATTATTATTATTATTATTATTATTATTATTATTATTATTATTATTATTATTATTAAAACTAGAAAATAATGAAATCGCGTTCTCTGTGCGCATCTCAGATACCGCAGCAAATTGGTGCCGGGTGTTTAACCAATATATATGTGCTTCCATTGTGAAATAATACTTCTTAAAGGTGAGCGCTCGTGTTGTGTTTCTCCCGTGTACTTGCTTCAAAGACTTCACTGACAAGCGCATTAATTTTACCCACGTCCCTTCCCCCTGAAGAAACACTTGTCGAGAGTGCCCCCTTCCGCCTCCCAATAACGAAAATCTGATGCCGCCGTGATATCAGATGAGTTGCGCCGAAACGCAATTGATTGATTTGTGGGGTTTAACGTCCCAAAACCACCATATGATTATGAGAGACGCCGTAGTGGAGGGCTCCGGAAATTTTGACCACCTGGGGTTCTTTAACGTGCACAAAATCTGAGTACACGGGCCTACAACATTTCCGCCTCCATCGTAAATGCAGGCGCCACAGCCGGGATTTGATCCCGCGACCTGGGGGTCAGCAGCCGAGTACCTTAGCCACTAGACCACCATGGCGGGCGCCGAAACGCAATACGTGTGTGTGTGTGTGTGTGTGTGTGTGTGTGTGTGTGTGTGTGTGTGTGTGTGTGTGTGTGTGTGTGTGTGTGTGTGTGTGTGTGTGTGTGTGTGTGTGTGTGTGTGTGTGTGTGTGTGTGTCCGCCGCGATGGAGCAGTAGTGTTGTGGTTTGTGTTGGTGGTGCTCGTTTGCCGACTCGAAAAACGTTTGTTCGATATCGGTCGCATTTCGATAGAGGCGATCGATATGCTATAGAGGCCCGTGTACTGTGCAATGTCAGTGCACCTCAAAAAAACACCGGATGATCGATCTTTCCGGAGCTCTTCAGTACGATGTCTCTCGTTATATTATATTATCGTTGTTTTGGAAAAGTAAAGCTTAACAGCACGAAGTTTCCCAAACCACGATGGTGATCGGGGGGCCATTGTAAGATTAGCATCCGGTAAAAACCCCAGTAAAGGTGAAGGTTCATGTGAGAACTAGATCGAATGAATAATGTAAGATATAATATACCTGACGCGTTTTGTTTTTTGTTTTCTCTTTCTTTTCCTCCCGTGTCGCACGTTACCCATCGTCACAAACCGAAAAGGTACACGGAAGAGAGCGACGTAAAATCATTTCGGCGTCGTCAGTTCTGAATCGCGATAGAGAAGTAATACACATGTTTGTTGCTTTGTCCTTTCCAACAAACGAGGTTATGTATATCACGTTCCAGACCCGTGAATGAAAGCAGGAACCTGATCCTAGGTTGCTTTTGTGGGAGTGTAATATTGCTTCATGTTTTTTTCAAACAATTTCTCTTTCCGAGCACAGTGTAGTCAACCACATGTTTCCTATTGTTAACCTTGGCCAACCTTCTCGTCTCTCCGTCACCCTTCTGTCTCTCTCTGGGCGCCGCTAGAGGGGCCTAGCGTAGGCAACGCGAGCCGCCCGGACGAAGTACGAGAAGGGAGACGACACAGGCTGCTGTTTGTTCGAAAGAAGAAGAAGAAAAAAAAGGGCAGTTTCCACGCGATGTGGGACCTGCCTTTTTTTTTTTTTATGGAGGCGAAAATGCTGTAGGCTGGCGTGCTCAGATTTGGGCGCACGTTAAAGAACCCCAGGGGGTCGAAATTTTCGGAGTCCTCCACTACAACATCTCTCATGATCATATGATGATTTTGGGATGTTAAACCTCACATATCATCATATAGTTAGAGCGCAGACGTCAGTAAATGAAGGGCACTTTACGGTGCGATGATGTTAATTTCATGAAGAACTTTCATTAGCGTATTCATCCAAGGCCGGGCCATGCTTGAATATGTCTCGTCATATCTTAGCAGTAAGCACTAAATGCTTATTAGATTGCTGTAAAGGGGACCCAGCACCTGAACCACGAATGATATTAAATCAACATGGCGCCTGTATCAGATATAGGAGTACATAATTAATGTTTCTTGCTTTGTTGTAAGATTAGATAGCCAGCCCAGATATTGTGATTGACATCGCATCGACATGATGCCTACAAAGGTTTTATTAATTTATTTGCGTACTGCAGGGACCTTGATCATCTATATGTCTATCTACCTATCTCAGGCTAGCCGCCTAGATCTTGGGGTAAACTAAAATTAGTAAGGGGGGGGGGGGGGTAAGGTGGTTTGTCGAATATGACTCGCTAGTGATCACATGAATAATGTCGCGTACGTCGTCAAACACTTTCCGCCAGACATTGGCGCATGCCCGCGGGCGGGTATGTGCCATTGTTATGCGGGTATCTGCCACGGGTGATTGACAATTCATATCTACCTAGAAAGAGCGAGAACACGCATGGGTAATATGAACACGTGAGCGTTAAGAAAAAGCTGACATCAGCAGCGTTGACCGCACAAACGTAAAGAATAAATGTCAGGGTCCCAGCAAGAATCAGCAATGTCAGGGTCCCTGGCGTTCTGCATGGCAATCAAATATTCTACCACAGAGCCACGTCAGGTCTCAGAACTAGGGCTCTGCTACGCTTTTTGCGGACAACTGGCCTCAGAGACAGACTTTAGTGTCTTATACTCTTTGATGTTGCCTATCCTCTGTCGCTATTTTTAATGTAATTTCTCTCTCTTCGCAACATTTATTTTTATCATCTTTTATTCCCCTCACCCCTTTCCCAGCACAGGATAGCTAGCCGGTCTAAGAACTGGCTAACCTCCCTGTCCTTCCGCTTAAACTTTCCTCCTCCTACTTTTCTAATATACCCTAATGACTCGTGAAACGCCAATTGTGGTTGCAGTACCGGCTATCCAATTTTATAGATTTCATACGTACTCCTATGATACGAACATCACGTCAGGTTAACGTCAATTGCAGATAAGCAGCATCCACTGAAGAGTATTTCTATAGCAGTGTCGAGGCTACATCCATCCTCGCGAGCACCAGCTCTTCAAATCAGGTTACCGCTTCTGGTGTTGCTAATGCCTATGATGCTGTCGGCATCTTTACGCAACTGTAAACAACTGTTTATATAAAATAAATGTGGCAGGTAAACTTGCATGTGTCTGCGCGTGCATTTGCACCTATATATGTTTAGCGCCATCAAAACGTATCGCTGAATAAAAAAAATACAACCAGTCACTTTCCATCAGCATGCTTCGCACCCAATGTACGTGGGAGGATCTGTCGAAAGTTATATATATATATATATATATATATATATATATATATATATATATATATATATATATATATATATATATATATATATATATATATATATATATATATATCACGCGAGCGCATCAAATTCAGATAACGTGATACGTGGATGGCGCGGCCGAAAGCGCATCAAATTCAAGATAACGTGATACGTGGATGGCGCGGCCGAAAGCGGACGTCAAAAAAAGGGGTGCTCTTTCGCCGTCTGTTCGCACTATCGCTTTGCCAGCGTTGCGGGTAGGCGGCAGATATATTGCGTGCTATATGCCGCTAGCGACGATACACGAAGAAAAGTGCACGAAAAACGAAGTAAGTGAAAGACGTGCACCGAAATGCGCATCCTATGATTGATGTGTGCGGTTTAACGTCCCAGAACCACCATATGATTATGAGAGACGCCGTAGTGGATGCGTCCGGAAATATTCGACCTCCTGGGGTTCTTGAACGTGCAGCACCAAAATCTGAGCACAAAATGCGGATCCAACACCACCTACATATAGTGCAGGCATCACATCGTGGCTGCTACGTCACAGCCGATATTTAAGCAGGTATACATGGGTGATTCGGTGTGACTGTGCGCGTTGTGCAAGTTCATATCACCGCTGGTAG